CAATCGGGGATCACCAGTGGACCTCTGACAACAACACCGGAGCGGCAGCAAATAATAACGACGCAATCGGCCACGTGATCGGCCTTCTCGCGGCGCTTCAGCGCGGCAACAACGGTGAAGCCGCAGCAACAGCTGATCCTGTTCGTCCAGCTGCCGCAGCAGCAGCAGCCCGTCCCTGCGCTCCCCCTCCTCCTCTTAATCCCGAGGGTGACGACGACGACGACCACGACAACGTTGAGAACCTCGACGAAGGTAATACCACTCGTCTCAAGGCCAATCCAGCAACCATTAGTCTTGCCCCCATACCTCCTGCACGTCCTCAATTACGCTCCTCACTCGTCAAAAGCGACGGCATTCGTACTCAACTTTTTAGCTTTGAACGCATTCAAGCTATCGCTCGTCATGCCTTCTCGATTTTACCTTCCCACGGTGGCGAGCAACTCGCTGATTACCTTCAGCAAATCATTGACGAGGCTGAAGAAAAGATTCATTTCTTATTTACCGCGGATCAGCGCGGTTTTGAAGTAGCCAACATGGCTTTAAAGATTAAATACGGCGAGGTGGTGGAAGATAAAAACGTTAAGGCCGCCACCCAGATTGTGGCGGCCAGCAAAAAAAGGCCACGCGGGCCCACATCCACTTCCCGTCCAAGCCCTGCACCTCGTAATCGAGGCCAAGGGGAACGCCATTGGACCTGGCGTAGGGATGGCGATGGGCGTTGCTTCTATTGCCGAGAGCCCGGTCACGGAATAGCCGATTGTCCGCAGCGGGGCCAAGGGGCCAACCAACCTTCTAAGATTGTTTAAGATTTGTGTTTGGTTGTTTTCTTTATTATAAAGACTATTTGGACTTACCCGTCGATCTAAACATTCCCGATATACATCAATGTCAAGAGTTGTTTATTTTAAAAGAGATCATGCAAAAAAAAAAAAAAAAATCAATAAACAACAAACAAACAGACAAATAAGAAGATTATCATAACTGAGAGCGTGATTATGCATTACGCCCCTAAACTTCGCTCTTGAAAAACAAAAAAAAAAAAAAACAAAAAAGGGGGGGGAGAGAGACACAATCAGAGAAAAGAGAAAAAGGAAAGAGACAAACAGAGAGAAGAAATAGGAGAGAGAGACCGATTGAAAGAGACGATGGATTCTACAATTTGGTGACACATGGGTGGGCATGTGCGCCCTACACGTCTGCCATGGTCATAGGATGGTATCTCCCCACAACGCGTTGCGTTTAATATGACTAGATAATCATATAACATGCTAATCTAATCCCGTGCGTGATCTTACCCACCCCCCTCCAGAATTTGGCTTCATGCCACACATCAAGGCACAAGGTGATGTGCGACACATGCGAGGACGCTTGCGGGAACGTTCCACATGGTGGAACTCCTGGTGCACGAGTCGCTTCATCTTGTCAGTCATTGTGTCGGGGTATCGCCTACCGTGGCGGTCACACGAACCTACCCCGCACCATGCCCCGAACCACTCGGGAGCGTTGCAACACACGGCTTTCGCGGTCGAAGCAGTGGCTGGCCTACTTGCTTCAGGCGCGGCCCGCATCGTCCCGGCCGAGGAGCCGGTCACCTGTGTTAGCCCACTAAACGTGGTTGTTCAGCCTTCTAAGAAACGACTTATACTGGACCTACGGCATGTAAATTCATTCCTTTCCATCCCTCGATTCCGGTACGAAGGACTCAACAGGGTCCCCGACCTAGTCCATAAAGGCGATTGGTTGTTCACCATCGACCTCAAGTCGGGTTATCACCACGTGGACATTCACCCGTCATTTTGGCGGTTCCTCGGATTTTCCCTGCAAGGCCAACGATACCAGTTTCTGTCACTACCCTTCGGGCTTGCTACAGCGCCCTTCGTGTTCACACAGCTAATTAAGCAGTTGGCAAAGCGTTGGCGCAGTAGAGGGATCCGATTAATTCCTTACGTTGACGACCTTTTGTTCATATGCGCTACGCGAACCGAAGCGTTCCGGACCCGCACCATCATTCTAGACGACCTCGGGTCCGCAGGTTTTATCGTCAACACGGACAAATCACAGCTCGAACCGTCGCAACGGCTTAAATTCCTTGGCCTCATATTGGATACTAGTACAACATCCTTCTCCGTCGACGTTACCCGTCGAGATCGGTTGTTCGACGAGCTCGAGCAAATTTGTCAGATCAGCACACAGGGGCGTCGCATCCCGGTTCGACGCGCAGCTAGGGTGACAGGCATGCTAGCTTCCATGGCTATGGCGCTTGGTACCATAGCCCGTGCATTCTCACATAACCTGATCTCTCAAATCAGTGCGTGTCAATCCTGGGGAGACTCCATCCGTTTGACGTCGGAGTCGATCGACGAGTTGCGATTCTGGCTGACACAGTTCGACGTTTTCAATGGTTCCTGCTTCCACAACCCAAATGTGTACGACATCGCCATGTACGTCGATGCAAGCGACCATGCTTGGGGAAGCTGTTACTCCACGCCAGATGGCCGTGTCGGCTCGCAATCCTTCCGATTTCCCCAGTCACTATCAGTCCCATCGAGCACTGTCGACCTTTAGCTGCGAGATCCAACGCTCGCACGTCCTACTTCGAAGCGACAGTCAAGCGGCCTACTATATTCTAAAAAAGGGTGGTTCTCACCAAGCCAACCTCACTCTCATCTGCCGCGCCATTATCACACTTTGTGTGCATCACAAGATTCGATTAACGGCGCAATGGATCCCCCGCGAACTCAATACCGAAGCCGACGCCCTTTCAAAGATTGACCTACACGACGACTACTCTCTCGCACGGACGTGGTTCCGTTTACTCGAGCGCCGCTGAGGCCCACATTCAATCGACCTATTTTCCTCGTCCTCCAACGCACAATTACGCCGGTTTTGCTCCCTAGACTATCATCCGCATGCGGTCGCCCAAGACGCGTTCTCTCTTAGTTGGAACGGTGAAAATTGCTACGCCTTCCCACCGCCGTCCATGATCCCCGCCGTCCTCGCCCACGCGCGTCGATCTCGTACTACAATAACTCTCGTTATCCCGGAATGGCCTAGCGCCTTCTGGTGGCCACTACTTTGCCCAGACAGCACTACGTGGGCGCATGATATACGGGCGAGCATATATCTCGCTCACGGTCCAACATGTCTACGTGTTGGTAGTGATACGCTGGCCTTTAGTGGTGCCAGTATCCCCCATTCGCATATGTATGCTCTTCGTTTGATATATACTAATCCATAGCCTTGTAAACATGCAGGTTCATATATTGGACGTTTGATGGGGGACCTCTTAACGCTTACTGTCGATTTGCGCGCCCAATCCACGATCCGCACATACGAACCCTACTGGCGACAGTATCGCACATTCTGTCAAGAGCATTCGTTGTCGTTTCTCCCTGCCACGGACCTAACATCCGCGCTATTCTTACTGCACTCAGTACGCAGGGGTGCCACGGTCTCCGCCGTGCGATCTGCCTGCTCTGTAATTTCTTGCGCCCACTGGTTGGTCGGCTGCCCATCTCCTATTCGAGGACCGCTCTCCTCACAAGTAAAGGAGTACGCGAAACGACACTGCGGCAAACCTTCCGTGCCAAAGGAACCTATACCCCCTGCTAAGATTTATGACATTTGCGATATCTACTTCTCGTCGACGGATCCTGCCATCTTCCAGCGCGGTCTCATCCCTCTTCTTATGTTTGCAGCTTTCCTGCGCTTCTCCGACCTCGTTGCCCTTCAATGGCACCAAATCGAGTTCGACCGCGACTGCATGTGGCTGTTCATCCCCCACTCAAAAACGGACCAGGCCGGCACAGGCGCCTGGGTCCCAGTCGCCGCCTCTTCTGCCCGCCACTGCCCTGTCACTCGCGTACGGCAATTTCTCTTCCTCGCTGGCTTCTCTGCGCAAACCTTAGGCCCCCTTATTCGGGTGTTCCCGCCCGCTGCGCGGGCTTCGCCATCCGATCGATCCCCATCCTACGCCACGGTCCGAGGCTGGTGTCGCGAGGCATTTTGTCGTGTTGGCCTCAACCCGAATCTGCTCGGCACGCATTCCTTTCGCAAGTCTGCCGCCACCGTGGCTGTCGATGTTGGCGTGCCTGATCGCCTCTTCAAGGCCCTCGGCCGGTGGCGTAGCGACAAGGCTCGGGAGTTGTACGTCACCCAGTTGGACCGCGAGTTGGTGACGGCATCGCGTACCCTTCAGGATCCGACGAGACCTAGCTCTACCTACCGTTACGCATCCACTCTCGCACGCCATCGTCATCCTCCGCCTATTTGATGTCTCGTTTACCTATGACGACTGTACTGCACACTCCTCGGAGAGTCGTGTCACAATATGTAAAATTTTTAAAGTTAAACTTCTAAAAATTTGAAGATTGTGATTCGACTAGAAGAGGAGTTGGCTGTAAAGGAGACAAAATCCTTTTCATTCCCGCAGGTCTCTCAGACCTGCCACCTAGTCTCATTTGCATTTTCATATCTCCAATTTGCTTCCCTCCCACCCAATTCCCCTTTTTTTTTTAGTTACATAGAGTTTATGATACCCTATTTGAATACTCATTGTTATTGCTCATTTGAGTGTGCTGTACAAATGGGATTTGTAATGCTATGACGACTGCACTGCACACTCCTCGGAGAGTCGTGTCACAATCAAATTATAAGCAAAAGGATTTCTGATTTCGCCCTCGCGCCGCGCCTAATTTCAAGCTGAGTTGTACTCGGCTCAATTTCCAAATCCAACCATGCGCTGAACGCGCCTCGAGTTCGAATTTCAGACTTCCTTGGATGCGCCTTTGACCCGGCGTGACTTCTCTTCACTTCACTTGAAATCTCTTCTTCACTTCGTTTCTCACCATAGGTTCCGCCGCTGCCGTATTCCTTCTTCCACCACCCCAACATAAGTAGCTTATCTTCTTCTTAGGTCCTCGCCTTCCCTTAGTCTCATCTCGTCAAGGTAGGTCTTTCTTAGGTCGATGTAGGTCGCTCCAGGTTGTGCTAGGTCGTGGTTAGCTAACCACCTTCAACAGCTGCGAGGGTAGCTGGTGCATCACGCGGCAGTCTGTTAGACAGAGGCGGGACAACCGCGTGAGCTGCGTGACGGACGCGGGGAGGCTCCGCAGCTCGGGGCAGCTGACGCGGAGCTCCTCCAGCGCGGGAAGCGCTCCGAACTCCTTGGGAAGAACTGTAAGGCGCGGCATGCTGAGGTTGAGTACGCGAAGCGACAAGAGCGATGCGAGCGAGGAGGGAAGCTTCGTCATGTTGCCGAGGCTGTGGTCAAGAGTGAGCTCCTCGAGGCGCGAAGCGCCGAGGAGGAAGCGGCCGAGGCACTGGGGCGTGATGCGGAAGTGCGGCACCCCGGTGTACCGCGGCTCGTCCAGGCACAGGCAGGAGAGCTGCGGGCAGGCAGAGGGCATCGCGGTCAGGAACTCGTCGTTGAGAAAATCGACACTCCTGTAGGCTAGCGTGAGCGAGGTCACGTTGGGGAAACTCGCCAAGCCGCGCAGTAGCTCGCCCGCGTGGAGGTTGCGCTCGGCGCTGACGTGGACGGCCTGCTGCAAGTGTTGCGCCAGGCGCAGCCACCAGCGGCACACGAGCGCATGATGCATCGCCTTGCTGGAAAAGGCGCGCTCGAGGATTGCGGAGAGCACGTCGTCGGGCAGACCGTTGATGATATCCTCGCCCGGCTGGAACTCGCCTTCCATTGGTTCCAGATCTCGCGGCTCTTCTGTCTCGCGGGCATCAGGCGGTGCGGTCGTCGCGTCCATGGCTTCTGCGTAAAGAACTCTTCAGCGCGATGTGGGGCTGGTGCAGACAAAGGAATGTATGCCAGGGCCTGGGATGAGGAGTAGGAAGCACGACTAGGAGAATTGTGCATATGTAACAAGACGAAGACGATCTCGTCATCCTCGATTTTGCCAACTCAGCTCCTTGTGATCCGAACCAGAATTCGGAACACACCCTAAGTACATTTTGGGAATTCAATGTTGGAATCCAACATTGAATTGTGCGGCTCGTAATTCTGAGTTTCCAACCGTGGGAACAACTCCAGAGAGCATACTACTAGTGCTGGACACAACGAGGCAGAGAACTCCAACAGCGCAGCAAAGTATTTGACAGCACAAGCAAGCATACTTTCCTACAGCCATGGCTACTTCCAACAGAGCTCGTGGTCATCATTATCAACGACACCATGGACGACAACAAGACAAATAATCTCTGCTCATTACCTTAGTGAATTCCTAGGCTATGGTTCTAGGATATGACAACAAGGCTAGTATGTCTTGTACATAATGATAATGACTATGCCTTGCTGTCCTTAGCTCTAGGAAGATGATAGGCGACCTGAGCGACCTGCTCGAGGCGCCCTTGCTAGTATCCTAGTATATTAGGATGTATCTCTGAAATGTAAGCCATCATATGATCTCTTGTAAAGCTATCTTACTACTTTCATCCTGAAATTCTCCTAAGAGCACTTCCTACTACTACTACTCTGCCCAAACAGCTTACTGGCTGTTTCAGCATAGTAAATAAGCATGGGGAGAGGTGATGGGATGGGAGGGGAAGAGTCGAATGGGCAGGGCAGTCCGTGTGTAGAGCCCTACCTTGGGCAGTTTTTCCCCCCGAGCCCACATCCAAGTTTCCCCACGCGACTCGCAATCTCAAAAGGCTTGGGTCAGAACGAGTCGCGTTTACCACGCGATTCGAACACTCTGGACACCCCTGGAGAGGAATTGCTGCGAAGACGCAATCATCAACACTACATGTTCGTAAATATGGAAATGTGTAACGAGAAATTCAAATTCCTTAATACACATCTCAGTGAATGATCATGTGCTTCCGAAAAGCATTTTTCAGACGTACAACCACCTATTTCCAGCATGAATTTATAACACTGAATTATGGTTACAGAGCTGGTGAAGAAACGGGTAATATTATGAACTTGTGAAACTGGAATTGCAGGTTTCTGGCACACTTAACATTGTTAACGAGTGCTTATGTATCGAAGATATCTTTTGCACTCCACGCACCGCGACTCCGCACCCAAACATCCTTGACCCCGTACCGTACCCAACCTCTCCGAAAATCGTTCAACTGCAAGCTCACTGAGCTGGGTTGACAGGGACTCTTGGGAGTGGAAGCCACATGAGTTCGAGCCTTGGGATTAGCGGATTAGAAAAGTAAGCTCAACAGCCCAGGAAAGCAGCGGAACGCCGAGTAACGCTGTGGAAACATGCGGTTTTTGTTCGCCTAGATCTCCAGCTGTTCGCTCTCGGCTCCACGCGCGTAGCGCGACGTCCTAGATTTACCCGTCATGGGAGACGACGAGGACTCGCCTCTCCATCCTTCCCTGAAGACTTCTCTCAAGCAGCGGCCATCAGGGCAGACGACGTCACACGCGACGTCGCTGCCGACGATTCCGTCGCATGGCAGCGACTCTGCGAAACCCGTCGCGAGCGCGGCTTCGAATAGGAGCCGCGTCTCCGCCGTCCGATGGGACGATCTGGACCGTCTGAACAGCTCAGATAATGCGACACGTCAGCACGAGGCCAATGAAATGCCCACGTGGCTGACGCTGTCTGACGTCAGCGCGATTAGCTCAGCAGCAGAGAGCGAGCGAGGGGGCCGCGACGCGTGGGACGAGGCGCGCGCGCGCAGGGAATGGGGGGAAGAGGCGGCCGCGCCGCAAGGATGGACGAACTGGAGGGGGGAAAGAGCGCGACGAGGGGAAGCGGAAGGGGAAGAGGAAGGGGAAAGAGCGGAAGCGGGGAATCCGGAGGAGAACAATATGTACGAAGTGCCACACAAGCAGCGGTTCCGAGGTGACCACGATTTGTCCCCGCTACAGCAGGTGAGCGCCTTGATTCGATACTAAACACACAAGGAGCAGAACATGTACGAGATGCCTCACAAGCAGCGGTTCAGCGGTGACCATGACCTGTCGCCGCTACAGCAGGTGAACGCCTGTGGCCGCTTCAGCAGGTGTGTGTTGTTCCTTATCAAAGTGAACCCAGAAGTGGCTGCTTGGAGCATCAGCACAGCAAGAGGATCAAATCTGAGCAGCAGTGCGAGTATGGCATGCACGCAAGTCAACACAGAGCCTGTCTCCCTGCACCGCCTCTCCCACTGGGGCGACCAAATGCAACTGGGCCGACCAAACGCAACTGGGGCGTCCCTCAAGCGGCCCCATCTACTCCCTTCGCCCTTCCCCATCCCCTTCCCCATCCCCCTCCCCATCCCCTTCCCCATCCCCCTCCCCATCCCCTCCCCATCCCTCCCCACCCCCTTCCCCATCCCCCTCCCCATCCCCCTCCCCATCCCCCTCCCCATCCCCCTCCCCATCCCCCTCCCCATCCCCCTCCCCTCCCCTCCCCCCCCGGTTTCTGAACTGGGTCTCTCACACACTGCTGGGCCGTCCCTCAAGAGATCTCACCCACTCCGCCTTCGCCTCGCCCATGCCCATCCGCCTCCCCATCACCCCCCTCCCCACTCCTACAGTTTCTGAACTGGGTCTCCCACACACTACTGGGGCGGCCCTCAAGGGGCTCCACACATTCCGCCTTCGCCTTTGCATGAACTCTCAGCGTGTACCAACAAACCCCCCTCCTCTTCCCCACCTTCCCCCCCTCTTCAAATCCCACAGTTTCTGAACTGGGTCTCCCACACACTACTGGGCCGCCCCTCAAGGGGCTCCACGCACTCCGCCTTCGCCATCTCCCGCATGGCCTCCCAGTCCGCCCCCAGCCCCGCCCCCTCTGACTCCCGAGCCAGCGCCGTAGGCTCGGCAGCGGCGGGCAGGCCCGTGTTTGCCCGGTCCGACACGTTTTTTCTGCGGGAGATGCGGGCGTCTGAGCTGCTGGGGAGGGCCGTGGTGGCACCCGATAATGGGTGAGTGGGTGACGGTACTGGGTGTGTGAATGGTGGTTTCTATCCCTCCACCCCGTCCGTCCGTCCCGCCTTCCCGCCTTCCCTCCATCTCGCCTTCCTGGGAGATGCGGGCGTCTGAGCTGCTGGGCAGGGCCGTGGTGGCGCCCGATAATGGGTGAGTGGGTGACGGTACTGGGTGTGTGAATGGTGGCCTTTCTCCCTTTCTCTCTCCGTCTCTCCATCCTTACATCCCTCCATCCCTCCTGCGGAAGATGCGGGCGTCAGAGCTGCTGGGGAGGGGTGATGATGGGTGAGTGTGGGGTGATGATGGGTGAGTGAGGGGTGATAATGGGTGAGTGAGGGGTGATGATGGGTGAGTGAGGGGTGATAATGGGTGAGTGGCTGTCAGTGTTGGGTATGTGTGTGAATGGTGGCCTTTCTCCCTTTCTCTCTCCGTCTCTCCATCCTTACATCCCTCCATCCCTCCTGCGGAAGATGCGGGCATCAGAGCTGCTGGGGAGGGGTGATGATGGGTGAGTGTGGGGTGATGATGGGTGAGTGAGGGGTGATGATGGGTGAGTGAGGGGTGATGGGTGCCGCATCTCACCCTTCACAGCTCGCCCCATCTCTACCTTCACAGCTCGCCCCATCTCACCCCTCTCTCGCATCTTTCCAGGCACTCGAGAACCACACAGTCGGCCACCTTCCGCCATCCGACTCCTCCTTCCAGCTGCCAGCTCCAGCTGGAGCTGACATCGCGGCAGCTGGACCTGGCAGCTGGAAGGAGGAGTCGGATGGCGGAAGGTGGCCGACTGTGTGGTTCTCGAGTTCTTCCAACCTTGAGCCGTTTCAATCCCTCAATCCGTTCCTCCCTCTCGTTCTCTCCCCCCCCACACCCCCTCAGTCACCTGCTGCTGTGGCACCAGCTCACGCTCACTCTCGCTCTCGCTCAACTCTGATCTGCCTCTACTTCTCCTCTCTACTTCTGGCCTTCTCTTTCTCTCCCCCCCCCTCCCTCCTCTCAGCTACCTGCTGCTGTGGCAGCAGCTCATCCTGGCCCTCTCCTTCTACTCCGCCTTCATCACGCCTCTCGAGTTCTCCTTCCTGCCAGTCCTGCCGCCCGGCCTCGCCGTAGCGGACGGCGTCGTGAGCATCTTTTTCCTCGGCGATCTGATTCTCACCTTCTTTGTTGCCTTCAAGGACAGGAAGACCCAGAGCTACGTCTGCGACCACTGGAGCATTGCCACCAGGTGAGGTTCGGTTGAGTGCGGTGAGGTGCGGTGCGGTGAGGTGGTGATGTGAATTCTCTTTTTCTTCGCCGACCTGCTGCTCACCTTCTTCGTTGCCTTCAAGGACCAAAAGGCCCGAAGATATGTCTGAGACCACTGGAGCATTGCCACCAGGTGAGGTGCGGTTGAGTGCGGTGAGGTTATATCGGCCTCGTCTTCCTTGCTGACCTGCTGCTCACCTTCTTCGTTGCTATAACGGGCCAAAAGACGCAGAGATACGTCTGCGACCACTGGAGTATTGCCACCAGGGGAACTGCGGTGGTTGAGTGCGGTGAGGAGCGGTAAGATGGGTGAATGAGGTGCGGTGTGGTGAGCTGGTGTGAATCCTCTCTTCCTTACCGGTGTTCTGCTCGCCTTCTTCCTTGCTTTCAAGGGCTAGAATTCCCAGAGATACGGTGTGAGGCTGGAGTACGCCAGGCCTTCTTGCTGATGAAATAGCCGCTCTGTTAAACAGGCCATAACACACTAAGTGCGATCACCGGAGCATCACCACCAGGTGAGGTGCGGTTGAATGCGGTGAGGCGATGTGATATCTCTCTTCCTGGATAACCTGCTGGTCACCTTCGTATTCGCCTTCAAGGAAAGGTAAATCCAGAGCCATGTCTGTGACCACTGGAGCACTTTCACCAGGTGAGGAGTGGTTGAATGTGGTGATTTTTTGGGGTATGGTTTGGTGAGATTAGTTGAGGGAGGTGAAGTGTGCTGGAGGGTGGCGAAATGCGGTCCAGTGCGGTGCATGAACGTCAGTTTAAGAGTCTTTCTGTTATAGGGACTGAAAACACTGTTGTTTGGAAATCCTTAACAAGCCGAGTATGGCACGACGCAGTGGGGTGTGATGAATTCAGATGGATCATGGTTGTGCCTAATGTGGTCAGATGGATCGTGGTTGTGCCTAATGTGGTGACACACAGTTTGGATATCACCCCTTTGAATGAAATGACCACCCGCTCTAGTACAGTTTTGTGCCGCCTCTCCTTTGTGTGCCGCCTCGCCTTTGTGTGCCGCCTCGCCTTTGTGTGCCGCCTCGCCTTTGTGTGCCGCCTCGCCTTTGTGTGCCGCCTCTCCTTTGTGTGCCGCCTCGCCTTTGTGTGCCGCCTCGCCTTTGTGTGCCGCCTCGCCTTTGTGTGCCGCCTCGCCTTTGTGTGCCGCCTCGCCTTTGTGTGCCGCCTCGCCTTTGTGTGCCGCCTCGCCTTTGTGTGCCGCCTCGCCTTTGTGTGCCGCCTCGCCTTTGTGTGCCGCCTCGCCTTTGTGTGCCGCCTCGCCTTTGTGTGCCGCCTCGCCTTTGTGTGCCGCCTCGCCTTTGTGTGCCGCCTCGCCTTTGTGTGCCGCCTCGCCTTTGTGTGCCGCCTCGCCTTTGTGTGCCGCCTCGCCTTTGTGTGCCGCCTCGCCTTTGTGTGCCGCCTCGCCTTTGTGTGCCGCCTCGCCTTTGGTGTGCCGCCTCGCCTTTGTGTGCCGCCTCGCCTTTGTGTGCCGCCTCGCCTTTGTGTGCCGCCTCGCCTTTGTGTGCCGCCTCGCCTTTGTGTGCCGCCTCGCCTTTGTGTGCCGCCTCGCCTTTGTGTGCCGCCTCGCCTTTGTGTGCCGCCTCGCCTTTGTGTGCCGCCTCGCCTTTGTGTGCCGCCTCGCCTTTGTGTGCCGCCTCGCCTTTGTGTGCCGCCTCGCCTTTGTGTGCCGCCTCGCCTTTGTGTGCCGCCTCGCCTTTGTGTGCCGCCTCGCCTTTGTGTGCCGCCTCGCCTTTGTGTGCCGCCTCGCCTTTGTGTGCCGCCTCGCCTTTGTGTGCCGCCTCGCCTTTGTGTGCCGCCTCGCCTTTGTGTGCCGCCTCGCCTTTGTGTGCCGCCTCGCCTTTGTGTGCCGCCTCGCCTTTGTGTGCCGCCTCGCCTTTGTGTGCCGCCTCGCCTTTGTGTGCCGCCTCGCCTTTGTGTGCCGCCTCGCCTTTGTGTGCCGCCTCGCCTTTGTGTGCCGCCTCGCCTTTGTGTGCCGCCTCGCCTTTGTGTGCCGCCTCGCCTTTGTGTGCCGCCTCGCCTTTGTGTGCCGCCTCGCCTTTGTGTGCCGCCTCGCCTTTGTGTGCCGCCTCGCCTTTGTGTGCCGCCTCGCCTTTGTGTGCCGCCTCGCCTTTGTGTGCCGCCTCGCCTTTGTGTGCCGCCTCGCCTTTGTGTGCCGCCTCGCCTTTGTGTGCCGCCTCGCCTTTGTGTGCCGCCTCGCCTTTGTGTGCCGCCTCGCCTTTGTGTGCCGCCTCGCCTTTGTGTGCCGCCTCGCCTTTGTGTGCCGCCTCGCCTTTGTGTGCCGCCTCGCCTTTGTGTGCCGCCTCGCCTTTGTGTGCCGCCTCGCCTTTGTGTGCCGCCTCGCCTTTGTGTGCCGCCTCGCCTTTGTGTGCCGCCTCGCCTTTGTGTGCCGCCTCGCCTTTGTGTGCCGCCTCGCCTTTGTGTGCCGCCTCGCCTTTGTGTGCCGCCTCGCCTTTGTGTGCCGCCTCGCCTTTGTGTGCCGCCTCGCCTTTGTGTGCCGCCTCGCCTTTGTGTGCCGCCTCGCCTTTGTGTGCCGCCTCGCCTTTGTGTGCCGCCTCGCCTTTGTGTGCCGCCTCGCCTTTGTGTGCCGCCTCGCCTTTGTGTGCCGCCTCGCCTTTGTGTGCCGCCTCGCCTTTGTGTGCCGCCTCGCCTTTGTGTGCCGCCTCGCCTTTGTGTGCCGCCTCGCCTTTGTGTGCCGCCTCGCCTTTGTGTGCCGCCTCGCCTTTGTGTGCCGCCTCGCCTTTGTGTGCCGCCTCGCCTTTGTGTGCCGCCTCGCCTTTGTGTGCCGCCTCGCCTTTGTGTGCCGCCTCGCCTTTGTGTGCCGCCTCGCCTTTGTGTGCCGCCTCGCCTTTGTGTGCCGCCTCGCCTTTGTGTGCCGCCTCGCCTTTGTGTGCCGCCTCGCCTTTGTGTGCCGCCTCGCCTTTGTGTGCCGCCTCGCCTTTGTGTGCCGCCTCGCCTTTGTGTGCCGCCTCGCCTTTGTGTGCCGCCTCGCCTTTGTGTGCCGCCTCGCCTTTGTGTGCCGCCTCGCCTTTGTGGTGCCGCCTCGCCTTTGTGTGCCGCCTCGCCTTTGTGTGCCGCCTCGCCTTTGTGTGCCGCCTCGCCTTTGTGTGCCGCCTCGCCTTTGTGTGCCGCCTCGCCTTTGTGTGCCGCCTCGCCTTTGTGTGCCGCCTCGCCTTTGTGTGCCGCCTCGCCTTTGGTGTGCCGCCTCGCCTTTGTGTGCCGCCTCGCCTTTGTGTGCCGCCTCGCCTTTGTGTGCCGCCTCGCCTTTGTGTGCCGCCTCGCCTTTGTGTGCCGCCTCGCCTTTGTGTGCCGCCTCGCCTTTGTGTGCCGCCTCGCCTTTGTGTGCCGCCTCGCCTTTGTGTGCCGCCTCGCCTTTGTGTGCCGCCTCGCCTTTGTGTGCCGCCTCGCCTTTGTGTGCCGCCTCGCCTTTGTGTGCCGCCTCGCCTTTGTGTGCCGCCTCGCCTTTGTGTGCCGCCTCGCCTTTGTGTGCCGCCTCGCCTTTGTGTGCCGCCTCGCCTTTGTGTGCCGCCTCGCCTTTGTGTGCCGCCTCGCCTTTGTGTGCCGCCTCGCCTTTGTGTGCCGCCTCGCCTTTGTGTGCCGCCTCGCCTTTGTGTGCCGCCTCGCCTTTGTGTGCCGCCTCGCCTTTGTGTGCCGCCTCGCCTTTGTGTGCCGCCTCGCCTTTGTGTGCCGCCTCGCCTTTGTGTGCCGCCTCGCCTTTGTGTGCCGGCCTCGCCTTTGTGTGCCGCCTCGCCTTTGTGTGCCGCCTCGCCTTTGTGTGCCGCCTCGCCTTTGTGTGCCGCCTCGCCTTTGTGTGCCGCCTCGCCTTTGTGTGCCGCCTCGCCTTTGTGTGCCGCCTCGCCTTTGTGTGCCGCCTCGCCTTTGTGTGCCGCCTCGCCTTTGTGTGCCGCCTCGCCTTTGTGTGCCGCCTCGCCTTTGTGTGCCGCCTCGCCTTTGTGTGCCGCCTCGCCTTTGTGTGCCGCCTCGCCTTTGTGTGCCGCCTCGCCTTTGTGTGCCGCCTCGCCTGGCCTCGCCTTTGTGTGCCGCCTCGCCTTTGTGTGCCGCCTCGCCTTTGTGTGCCGCCTCGCCTTTGTGTGCCGCCTCGCCTTTGTGTGCCGCCTCGCCTTTGTGTGCCGCCTCGCCTTTGTGTGCCGCCTCGCCTTTGTGTGCCGCCTCGCCTTTGTGTGCCGCCTCGCCTTTGTGTGCCGCCTCGCCTTTGTGTGCCGCCTCGCCTTTGTGTGCCGCCTCGCCTTTGTGTGCCGCCTCGCCTTTGTGTGCCGCCTCGCCTTTGTGTGCCGCCTCGCCTTTGTGTGCCGCCTCGCCTTTGTGTGCCGCCTCGCCTTTGTGTGCCGCCTCGCCTTTGTGTGCCGCCTCGCCTTTGTGTGCCGCCTCGCCTTTGTGTGCCGCCTCGCCTTTGTGTGCCGCCTCGCCTTTGTGTGCCGCCTCGCCTTTGTGTGCCGCCTCGCCTTTGTGTGCCGCCTCGCCTTTGTGTGCCGCCTCGCCTTTGTGTGCCGCCTCGCCTTTGTGTGCCGCCTCGCCTTTGTGTGCCGCCTCGCCTTTGTGTGCCGCCTCGCCTTTGTGTGCCGCCTCGCCTTTGTGTGCCGCCTCGCCTTTGTGTGCCGCCTCGCCTTTGTGTGCCGCCTCGCCTTTGTGTGCCGCCTCGCCTTTGTGTGCCGCCTCGCCTTTGTGTGCCGCCTCGCCTTTGTGTGCCGCCTCGCCTTTGTGTGCCGCCTCGCCTTTGTGTGCCGCCTCGCCTTTGTGTGCCGCCTCGCCTTTGTGTGCCGCCTCGCCTTTGTGTGCCGCCTCGCCTTTGTGTGCCGCCTCGCCTTTGTGTGCCGCCTCGCCTTTGTGTGCCGCCTCGCCTTTGTGTGCCGCCTCGCCTTTGTGTGCCGCCTCGCCTTTGTGTGCCGCCTCGCCTTTGTGTGCCGCCTCGCCTTTGTGTGCCGCCTCGCCTTTGTGTGCCGC